ATTAAATTTGGATTGTGACATATTATTTTAAATTTTTAACTAGGGGCGCAGCCAGCTTTCAGTCAGAAGGGGGCCTGCGACCGTGGCACAGGCAACCAAAAAGTATTTATAAGATAGGTTTTGAATTTTACAAAAATTGATCCAACTTCCTTCAAAATTTAGCAAAAAGCTTCAAGTCGAAAGCCTTCTTTTATCTAATGGTTCTATTTGTATCGGATATGAGGGGGTAGGTGAGCCCAGCGCACCCCCTCCCCCCCCCCTAAGCACTGCCTAGGTTAATCCAACTTGATGTTGCTATGGTAACCATTAGGTGAATATGCTAGGTGAATTAGACAATACATGAATAATGTAGATTGGCTGACTGACATACTAATTACCTGTCATGGTATCATAGCTGATTTTTGTGATTATTTTTTTGAAATAAGGTAAAATTGCTCGAAATGATTCCTCTGTAACAGACATTGGTACTAACTATCCCATTAATCGCCTAAAACACTTGACAAACATTTTACAAAACACAAATTGTAATACTAAATTTCAGAAATCCCTGGGATTTAATTGACAATTTTGCAAAGATTAGTTTTCGCTTTTTTTTATCAAGCACGAAACTAAATTGCAGGCGAAAAATACCAGGAGTTCAGTACCAGTTATGGTATCATAGCTGCTCTTTGTGATTATCTCTTGAAATAAGGTAAAATTGCTCAAAATATTTCCAAATTGGAACCTTGTCCTTTGACATTCACCATAAAATGAGGTCAAAGCTTAAAACTATGATTGATTCCATTTCTTTACAAGTATGGCCTGGAGTATGGAAGCCCCTGATTTAAGATATGCTTTTGGTTTTGAAATCTGACATCCAACCATTGAACATATTTTCGGATTTCAAAACCATTAGCAGCTATTAATGCCACGATGGGTATGCCAGTCAGTCAATATACATAATCCATGCATTGTCTGATTCTTTAGCTTCAATTTGGTGAATATTTCATACACACTCAAGCTGTAATCATGACAAAGATAGAAGCGAAATTTTGAAAAAGCCCTGAACAGTGGGGATGGCATATTCACCTAGTTACCATAGTAACATCATATTGGATTAACATAGGCATTGCCAGGGGGTGCGATGGGTGCGCCCCCATAAACAAAAAAATAGAACCATTAAATAGAAGAAGAGATTTAAAATCATTTTGACCTGAAGCTTCTAGCTCAGTTTTGAAGGAAGGTGCATCAATTTTTGTAAAATTCAAAAGAAATCTTAAAAACATTTTTGGGTTGCTTATGCCACAATCGCAATCCCCCTCTCCTGACTGAACTCTGGCTGCACCCCTGATTAATAATTGCCATTATGACATCATAACATAACACAATCCAAATTAAATAATTTTCTATAGTTTTAAGATTATTTTCTGTCATCATATTTTAAAAAGAATACATGTGTCAGTCAGCTAGTCAAAATGTAAAATTTCCCAAATAATTCTTTTTACATCAGATAGTTTTGCTACGTGCTGTAACCATAGCAACAGCATAAATTGGACATTACATCTTTGATTCATTCAATTTTTATGACCATGCAAGTATGAATGAAATAAAATTATAAACTCAACTTAAAGAAATAAACTAATTAATTAGTTAAAAGCATTACTGACTATTTTAAAGACAATAATTTCACAGATTAATACATCATGATTAAGATAAAATATGCAAGAACAAACATTTATGACGTCATAATCAGTATGCAAATCATCCTATTTGCATAGTTTACTAACTGTCTGATTGCTCCATCTATTCCTTTTGATTTGGTGCAAATTTCATCTAAATCTGAGCAATAATGAAGAAGATAAGGGCCAAACACTGAAAAGAGCCCCTAAAAGTGGGTGGGGCATGTTTACTTTGTTACCATAGCAACGCCATCGTTGATTCAGAATTGTCAACTTAATATATCCTGATTGCATTATCTATTACTTTCAATTTAGTCTGAATTTCATCAAAATCTGAGCAATAATGGTGGAGATGGGGGGCAAACACTGAAAAGAGCCCCTAAAACGGGCGTGGCATATTTACTTACCATAGCAACGGCATCGCAGATTCAGAATTGCCCATAATATTTCTTGATCATACTTTATACGTGTAAAGAAATAGAATGTAAATCAATCATTGTTTTCAGCGTTGACCTACTTTTATGGTGAATGTCAAAGGACAAGATACCAATTTGGAATCATCTTGAGCAATTTTACCTTATTTCAAGAAAATAATCACGAAAACAGCTATGGTAGTCATACCATAACAGGTATATCAGTCTGTCAATCTACATTCCCCATGCATCGTCTGATTCTTTAGTTTCTATTTGATGAAAATTTCATATACACCAGAGCTATCATCATGACAACTGATAGAATCAAGACTTTGGAAAAGACCTGAAAAGTGGGGATGGCATATTCACCTGAATACAACAGCTAACATAGGCATAGCCAGGTGGTGTGATTGGGGCAACCCCCCCCCCCCCCCCCCCATTTACCAATAAAAATAGAACCATTACAGCAGGAGATCCAAGACGTCATTTCCATTGTTCTTTCGGCAGAAGAGCTTTAAAACGCTTTTGACTTGAAGCTTCTAGCTCAATTTTGAAGGAATCTTTGTAAAATTCAAGTCAAATTAATCTTTTTTTGAGTTGCTTATGCCGATATCGCATCCCCTCCCCCCTGATTGAAAGCTGGTTGCGCCCCTGATTAATAATTGCCATTATGACATCATAATATAACACAATCCAAATTAGATAATTTTCTATCGTTATTAGGTTATTTTCTGCCAGCCATCAAATTTTAAAAGGAATACATGTCAGTCAACTAGTCAAAATGTAACATTTCCCAAAGAATTGTTTTCACAGCAGATAGTTTTGCAACATACTGTTACCATAGCAACAGCTTGAATTGGATGTTTTCATTACATTTTTTCAATTTTTATTACCATACATGTATGAATGAAATAAACTAATAAACTCATCGAAAAGAAATAAACTAATTAACTACTTAAAAGCATTACTGACCATTTTAAAGACAATAATTTCCCAGATTTATACATCATGATTAAAATAAAATATGCAAGAACAAACGGTTATGACGTCATAATTAATATGCAAATCACCTTATTTGCATATTTTATAAACCGTTTGATTGCTCTTTCCATGACCTTTCATTTGGTACAAATGTCACCTAAATCTGAGCAATATTGACGAAGATAGGGACCAAACACTGAAAAGAGCCTCTAAAAGTGGGTGTGGGATATTTACTTTGTTACCATAGCAACACCATATCGGATTCAGAATTGCCAACTTAATATTCTTCCTGATTGCATTATCCATTATCTTCCATTTGGTGTGAATTTCATCTAAATCTGAGCAATAATGACAGAGATAGGGGCCATACACTGAAAAGAGCCCCTAAAAGTGGGCGTGGCATATTTACTTGGTTACCATAGCAACGCCGTCGCGGATTCAGAATTGCCAACATCATTTTTCTTGATCAGTATCACTTCTAGTTCATGAAAACATATGTCGCTTAGCTCGCCTCTAAAAAGGACACGGGACCTCTTATTTGGACTTTTGCTCCCACACTACAATGGGTCATATAAAATGAAGAACAACCAACTAGTGGTTGCGCCATCTATAAAGTCCCCATTTTTGTGAAATTCAGAAATCTTGGTCTGTATTTCAAAAAACTGTCTTGTGTCCAGAAACATAATTCATTGAGGAAATCTATATAGAAATACTTTGTATAATTTCACCAGTTTTATGCCAATATCATGATAATTTAATATAAACATCAATAAATTAAAATAATTGTTGAACAAGTTAATTGATGATAAAATGAGAGTAAACTGACGGAAAAAATCTATAAATAGCATAAAAGATGTTGAAAATGTTTTAGAAATCTTGATTCGAATCTTGAGTAGATTATACAGGATTAGCACTATCTCGAAAACCATCATTTCTATCCCTTGGTAGAGATAATATTTCCATGCATTGTTCATTGAAGATTTTCCTAGTTGGGTATAAACATTGAAAACCACGATTCACAATAGATATTTTAATACAGGATCGTGAGCTAAAATGAATAAACAAAGCGAATAATTACCACAACCTCGATGTGGCTACACAGTAGCGAAAACATTGCGGAAATAACAAAACATTTTTCGCGTTTTTTGCCAGGATATACTAATGGGAATAATATTTAAATGATTGGTCAGCGTTTTGCTTCCGGATTTAATTTCATTGTTTTTATATCCAAAAACAAATGATTCCATGTGAGGTCTTTAAAAAATTTATGACGAGACAATGTCACAATTATATTCTATTTAGATTAATGTTTATTGAGCCCTAGCTAATTGCTATAATTATTAATGGTTATTGATACAAATTATGATTGTTTACAGGTTAAGCTTCCTTTGCAAGATAAATATCCATTGTTCTCAAAGAATAACTTTCTTTAATGATATTAGTTGTAAAACCATTTGTTTTTTATTTTTATTTATTCGTATATTTTCAATTAACTATATATAAGAAATATGTTTTCAGGAGTAAAAAACTGGTATAGTTATCATTGATCTCCCTACTGTATCACCTTTGGGAGTTTGAGAAAAGAAGCTTACGTCAACCTCAAAATTTATTCGTTTCAATTTGAAAATGAGAAAAATCATGCAAAACGTACATACTTTGCAAAATGAACATCTGAATTATGAAAAATAATTTTGTAGTTTATTCCTGTCCTTGGAAGAATTCTGTGTATTAATTAAAGCCATTTTGCATTTGATCTAATATTCAAATGCTTCTGATGTGGGATTTTATTATGATATCAAATCGTAATTCAGAGAACATCATTTCTACCTCATATTGCAAATGTAGATATTTTTCCAATGGATCTGTAATGTTTGTAATGTTTAAAAATACTTTTGCAATTTATATCATAATTGATATAACATTGAGTTACCTTTTTATTGAATTGCAGAGATTATCAAAAGAAACAAAGGACAATCAAGGCGCTTAAGCGAAAAGCACTGGACAAAAACCCTGATGAATTCTACTTCAAAATGATCCGCACACAGTTGAAGGTGAATATGATTTTTCATTCCAAACCATAAAAATTAATGAAGACATTATTTTTAATAGTTTGAATACAACTGTTCGGATTAACTTTCGTGAATTACCTTATGTCTTCAGAGATCTGTTTAGTACTAAAATTGAATTTTACATTCAAAGTGGCTTGGAAGCCGTTATTCAAACTCAATCCTCCATTGCCTGGCGTAGATCAGTTTGGTAACAATAAATAATTTTGAAGACTAGAACTGCCATGGAAGCTTGAATATTCCCATTATAAATATAGTGTCCATCTTCCAACGAAACACTTGGTCCGAAGAGAACCTTATAGAAATATTTTTTCTCAATTGTTTCATGCCAGGCAATGGGAGAACAAGTTTGAATAATTGACTGCCGGTCCTCCTTGTTTTACATTGATACATTTTTTCTGTAAAAAGAAGAGTATAGTTTGAAAATGCTGTGCTATGCTTTGCTATGCTGCCGTATTGTGTATAACCTGTCGATTATGGTGTACCACCTAGGAATACTGAAGCTTCGTGTTTTATTCATGACACCATAATCAGACCAATTTCTCCTATCAGAGAATGTAATTGTGGTGGCACGATGAAATATTCGACAACATTCTCATATCTAAATGAGTAATTTTTTATATAATTATGAACTACATACTTATAATAAAAATAATTCACATTATTGTTAGATTAAAACTTTCAGTTGAATGAAACTAATATTTCTGTGCATACTGTTAATTTATGTTTTAGTTCGGATTAATCTTCATAGGTGGCAGCACATGCTTGACTTAATATCAGTAGGAAGTATTTCTTCCATATTCAGTGCGTTCATTTGTAATTTTCATTCATGAAGATTATGGTAAACCAAAAATATTTGCATTGTTATGAATTTCATGATAAATCATAGACTAGTATGAATGAACTAGGTAACATTTTAACCTAATTATGGGAAAAGTTATTAATGAGCAACTAAATGGGCATATCTATATAGTAATGAATTAAGTAAAGTTGATTCTTTTATATTGTAGATAGCTAGTTAAAACTCTTCCTAAGTGCTCTTCTATGTTCAATTGTATTTAAACTATGCACACCCGGCATATTTACTATCTTTAATTGATTGTCTGTTTCATATTAATAATTTTTTCTCCAAAAGTCATTCATGTAACTTGATCAAGATATGATACAGAAATTAATATGCATTATAGAGATAAGAAAGCACTAAAATTCAAATACAGATTACTCCCAGCAACTATTGCAGTTTATAAATTGTTTGTATTGTTTTGCATTGTTTATGTACTGTCATCGTCAATGGGTCTGCACATGTGCATTTCTTTGTATATATGATGGTAGCAATTTTCAGGTCTATAATTAGTGAACTGTATACTGTACACTTCATGTGATCTTTACTATTTAATATTTCAAAAAAAACATTTAATTAGTTTTAAATTATGAATGGCGTGTAACGACAATAAATATTTCTTTACAAATGTACAATCTCCGATATAAATGCTCATATCAATGGTAGTGGAACAATAAACAAAATGAAATAAACTTAACTGGATTGTTAAATAAATTTATTGTTAAGAAGTATTTTTAAAGTAAGATTTTCCAATGAATTTCTAGTGTTATTCTTGGTACTTTAATATCTCGAAATATTAATAATCCAAATAAATCATTAAACCTGTTGAATGGAAAGAATATATGTCAAGAGTATGTTCCAAAGAATTACATCAATAGGAAACTGGAAACATCTTGGCCTATTGTTTCTAAGCTCTAATACGAAGACAATGTCCCCGTAGGCAAGTCGATGTATGAAAAAAAGTCACAAGATGTTGCCGTTAAAAATGGATCCGTAATTATGCGTGTCTAAGTTTCATTGTTTTTGTAGCACTGGTGTAGATCATCTATTGGCAGAAGATAATTCAATATCATTGCTATTGTACCATGGTGTAACACATGGTTTAGATGTGCATGGCTTCCTAGTCAGCTTAAGTTAATGAACTAGCTCAAGTGTTTGCGACTATTCATCAAGAATCTCTCATGAATTTCTCATTGAATTTACATTTAAATTCAATGAATGTAATATTTGTACATAACCTTGAGTATTTTGCCTTAGTTGTTTACTAGTTGGGGATCAGCCATTGCTATTGGTCTAATAATTACATCTAGGTGATTTGTATTATGAATTAAGTCAAAATTATAAAAGAAAGGAAATACAATGAAATTGAATATCGTTCTTCGTATGTATATTATTATTTGTCCTTTGTTTCAAATCCTGAGTATAGCAAATACTTACGAGGTACTTTATGTGACAGTGTAAAGCAATTTGAAATATTTGTTAATCTTTTCATATCTGTCTCCAACCAAACAAGCTTTAAAATGATATATATCATTCTGCGAGTTATATACTATGCACTGTTTAGGGAGGGGGTGGGGTGGTCATTACAAAACACCATGTATTCTCATATTTAAAACAAATAGGAAATACATTTAGATTGTACCTCTGGGACATTGCATATCTTAAAGAAAGTAATAAAATTGCAGTTACATATGTCTATTAATGCTTCCATTATGCCTAAAGAGATGCAAATTGTTTAACATGTTTAAAACAAATTAATTAAAGATTCATCTCTATGGACATTATATGCTCTTCGATTCTATTTTTTAAACTTTTTTCGCTTTATTAAATGTCTATTATGATAATAGGGAGTATATCTTCAAATCCCTGTCCTCACTTTGGTTCCCTATTGTCGTTTCTCAAATTAATTTTTCGATTAAGCAGAATTAGATTATAATGTGGATTGAAAAGAGAAATGGGGTATGGGAGAGGAAATGGGGGGGGGATAACTGGGGGAGGGTGGTCGTTTTTTCATCACTGTTCAGTTGTAATTTTTATTATTTTATTTTATAGTTAATGAGAACATTATTTATTTACAGTCTTATCTACCACATAACATACTGTAAGATTTAAATCTGTGACATTGACTTAGTGTGCGGAATGAATTATTCAAAGGATATGTAAAAGTGATGTTCAATGATTGAGTGAAAAACAGACCTAAAGGACCATCTGCATGCATACCTATTTTACATTGCAAAATACCCATTTATCAATATCTAAAAACTGTTTTGTTAAAATTATAAATGAGTTGTACCAGATTGTCTGGCTCCATCAATCCAAGTTATATCTGACCTACCCTGTACGCAGAGTCAAGTTATAAACTACTGAAGCTCTCCATTTATTAGTGTTCATTGTCACAGACTTTATTACAATTTTTTGTTTTAGACGTTTTGAAAAATTGTAATAAAGTCTGTGACAATGAACACTAATAAATGGATTTAATATTACCAGACTATAACTTATTTAATGTTACCGAAGCTCTCTTTTAAGAAGTGAAGCCGAACGAATGCAAAAGGGTGTACCTGAACAGGCCTGCTGCATAAATATGAGCAGAAGCAGCCAGAATAAATGACTCAACTACTGGTTGACTTATATTATGATATGAAGATTAGATAAAAAAAAATTATTTGGCGAGACTCGATATAAGATGAGAATTTCCTCATCTTGATGAAGACGTCATCTCTATTTATTTATCTTATTTATTATCATACAATGTAGTATTTTGCAATTAAAATAGAATCTTATGAGATCCTTATCAAATATTGCATCAAATTAGTATTTAATTGTATACAATGCATTAGTATTTAATGATAACAATTAGCTATTATTGTACCTAATTTATTCCCATTGTACATGTTTACTCAAAAATAAAGATATATGTGACACATCGAATGAATGTTGTATCTGTATTGTGTATTTTTTGCTTGTGATTTATTTACATTTAGATGTTAAGAGATTACATGGAAATCACTTGGACAAAAGCACTGAAAAAGTTGTCTTTTACAGGATGCAATACAGCCTATTCTATAGCTTTGCCTTCTCCATATTGTTTGTATTTTAAATAAAAAATAAACACATGTGTCCTAAAAAATACTGTGATTATCAATGTTTAAAATGATGCATGTATATTATCTCCACCTTGCGAGCCCTGTCTTTTCATTAAGTGATAATACTATTCTAGTAGCGACCTTATTTCATCCGCGGCCAACATCGTGAAATCGTTGCCCAAGGGGCCGACACAATGTTGCCCTTTGAAATGAGGTTATTGCTATATTGAAGTTTAAAAGCAAAATGATGTTTGTGAATTATGTGACTTTAAAGCGAGTAGGAACGTTTCATGCGTATAATAACATCCTAGCAATTTAGCTCATACATACTTCCAACATAGATCTGGAATTTTTGCTAACAATCAGAATTATGATTAATGTTGAGAATTATGATTAATGTTGAACTTTTAAATAAACATGTAATATGTATAAACCTGTAGTTCAATTTCTATGCTAGATTTAGTGTGCCATTGCCACATTATGAATTAGTTTTGGTTGCAATGGTAACATCAACAATGGTACAGTGTTTTTACCTGGGAGTTTTGCAGTTGTGTACCCATAAGGCACAGATACTAGTTTTCTGCAAGAAAAAAAGCAAATTCTGCAATCTTTTAAAACGACGAAAACGGAAACGGAAGTCAGCTACTTTCTAGGTAAGAACTGCGCATCATTAGCGAACTCGCTTTAGCGAATTTAAACGTGATAGAATGTTGAATTTCACGGTGAAATCGTACTTGTACTCAATAATGATTGATTGTTGTACATAAACAGACACTCTTCAAATACCCCGCAAAGGTAGGAGATCGTAAAATATGTAATTTCTGGAAATTCTGGTAATTCCGTGGGATTTTCATGAAAATCAGGGATTCTGCAAAAAATTGAAGTTTTGTCAAATTCCGTCCACGCCGCGGAATTACGGAATACTAGTATCTATGATAAGGTATGATCGTCCTAGGATGAAGAAAATAATTCTTCTTCCTGGGATTGTCCAAGTCTAAGAAAATTAATGAACTTTGATTTAATGAGCTTTCATCAGTTATCCCAAATCAGAAATCTGA